GACCCAAACAAGTGTCTGAAAATGGGATTAAATGAAATGCACGCCAAATCTAGTTTCAAATATTATGTCAGTAGATGGGAAACCGCTGAGAAATTTGGAAGTTTTTCCAAATAAGATGTTAATTATTTCAAATAAACATTTTTTAAAAATAATTTAGTAACTAATATACTAAAAAACAAGTTGATTTTTTTTTATAAAATGAGTGTTTTATATATAGCACTTAGTTATTTGCTAAAATGGTAACAGAAAGCTGTGAGGTGAGGAAAGTAGAGATTAAAGGATGCTAACAGATTTTATCTTGCATCCTGCACATCACTCCTGCTGCCCTAATGAGACAGCTCAGGTGACGCGTACTTCTCCAGCAGATGTCAGTGTTTGGAATAAAAGCTCAGTCTGAAACGTACAGAGGCCAAATATATTTAATTTGAGATGTAAACTTCCATATTAACATTTTTTTCCTCATTTTTGTTTTCAATGTTTACAGTTACATCTGTTTTGATTCATTTGCAAGAATGTATTGAAACATTTTAATTTTTTAAACTCAGTTTTCTAAGAGTCATAAATGTAATCTTCACAGTCCAAATATGAGGTTAAAACAAATTTTTTGTATTCATGAAGGCTTAAATGAAAACTGGCACAGGTAAATGGTAACTTCTATCATTTCAATTCAAATGTAATTTCCTACAACACTAAGGCACCTTCCTCCGTGTGTGTGTATGCCTGGCCTTATGAGATACACTCCTCAGTAACAGACATTTAATATTAATTATAGTGTTGGGTGCTTTTGTTTTTATATTCAACTGCTTTACCTTGCATGACTCTTCCTAATGCATGTGTCTATCTGCCTCTTCAGTGAATCAGCAGATAAGTTACTGTGTGTTGACTGAACCTTTGAGTCAAGGTTAATGTGGATAAGATTAACATGTTCGCAGACAGACGCACAATTATTCTGTAGCTTAGGGCCTGTGTCAGTTTAACTCCAATTGTTACTAACAGCAGAAGACAAAGATAAGATGGCACATTTTTTAATCTGGAGTTTAATAGGAACTTTATAATTAAATATTATGTTTAAGTTTTTGCTAAACAAAAATTAGATCTGCTATCTGAGTGGATGAGAGGAGGTGGAGCGAGAACAAACTAGACAGCAATAACTAATCAGAAAAAAAATCACAAAGTTAATAACAGTGATAACAATAGCACATACAGTACTGGGTAAAAGTTTTAAATCACCCACGATTTGTTTTGCTTTCAATTAACCAGAGTTAATTGAAATTTAAGACATTTTAAACAGTATTATACTAAGTCATTTTAATACACTCTGCAGTATAAGAATAATTAAAACAATTAAACTAAACAAGTATGAAATAATAATTAAACTTACTGTTTTGTCGACTTTTCTTTCATTCTACATCTTTCAAAAAGGAGTCTTGTTTCTGTTTCCGGTCTTAGCTGAACTTCCGGTGTCGCGCCGAAGTAATCATCCCTAAAAGTATGTGCTTCTTGTCTCGGGAGCGCGCACCCAGCACGAGAAGCTGGTTGTTGACTTCAACCAAGTAAAGCTCAAAGCAGTTAGTAGTTTTTATTTATTATGTGAGAGCGTTATTGTGTTATGGGAGTTATTTATCCTTTGAGCTCTCGTGTGCGCTCCCGTCACAAATTCGTTCGGGGGGGGGGGGGGGGGTGACTTACCTCGGCGCAACACCCGTCCCGAGCTGATGTACGCATGCGCGGACAATCCGAGCTTTAATTCTATGGCGAGAGAACGGATTCACCGGTGATAACCGTGTAATATAAACTGAGGAGATGAGGATTTTGGTTGTTTTTCTTTAAGAGGGGAATTTATTATAAACCGAGGACTCCGCAGCGTCACGAGAAAAGCAGCCCGGGCAGAACTTCACCGACCCACTTTCCCCAGTTTGTGTCAGACTCCCACCTTCAGGACAAACACGTCAGAAAAACGTGATAATCTTTTCTTCTCTCCGAGTTCTGATGTGGCAAGCAAACTGCAGACGGATGCACAATCTGGCAGAGTGGATTTCAGGTAAGTAAAAAAACTGCTCCTGTTAAAAAATATATAAATATATTTATATAAAATAAACTAAATTGTACAAATCAGAAAAAAAGGTGTCTGTTAATTTAGTCCAACACAATATGTAGAAAATAAGACAGGGAAATTAATTGATTATTTTCAACATGTGAAGAGAGAATCAGAGCACGAGAGGCATGATGCTCAGGCGCGTGCCCCCCATCAGCTGGCAGTACACGTGACGTAAACAGACAGCCTATCTGACCTCACAGGAACAAGGAGTGCTGAGCTGTCATTTTGCTCCCTGAGGAGGCTTTGCACGCTGGATGTTTGATTTATCATCATGCACGCTTTGATCCTTCACGCTTCTGACACGTTCGCGTCATTTCTGTGGTAAACCATGTCCAACAGGACTCAGATAGGCTGTAATTTCTTCTCTCTGGGTTGGGATGCAGGGACAGTGATGGGGGGCTGTGTGGGGAGGAGCAGGATGGATGGACAGGGGAGTGCCCGAGGCTCGACGAGGAGCAAGAAACGAGGAGGTAAGAACAGCCCACCTTCGCTCTGTTGGGGAGAAAAATCAGAGTTTTTTCAACCTAAAAGCAGAAATGTGACAGTGTGCATGATACAGTACAATAATGAAAAATGCTGCAGATCTAGTTTTTTTAAATTAAGTAAATGTTAAAATTATTTTTGAATAATCTGATGTATCATTCCTTAAATATGCAATAAAAATTATATTGCACTCTAAAAAAATGTCTTGCTCTTAGAAGAAGGCTGCAAGGAGACAGCAAAAACCATACACTTTAGCATCGGTGTTTTGCAAATTAAGACCTTACAATGTTTAGAGAAACTAAAGTTATCAAATGAGTTTATATTAGTACGGCTTTAAAGTTAGAAGCAAATTCTATCATATTTATAGCTGATTATAATAAAATCTGCTCATTTTCATCAGTCATTTTGGATACAAAAACAAGATTTTCAGCTACTTTTTTTTACTCACAATAACTATTATTA